CCATTTAACAGAACAACAGAGGTGGAAGGGATCTTGGAGGTCTTCTAGTCCAACCCCCTCCTCAAGCAGGAGACCCTATACCACTTGACACAAATGGCTGCCCAGTCTCTTCTTAAAACCCTCCAATGATGGGAGCATCTACGATTTCTGAAGGTAAGTTGTCCCATTGGCTCATTGTTCTCATTGTTCACTATAATGCAAGTGGAATCTCCAAACATGGAAGCAATATGATCTTGTATCTATTGACTGTATTTGTTTATAAATTCTTCTTATATGGCCCCAACAATGCATACAAAAGGTTGTTGTTTGAGCACAGATCAGAGCTAAAAACATCAAGCAAATCCTAACATAACAAAACAGAAGAAAAATAAAACATGGCAACCATCAACATTAATCACAATAACTCACAGACTTCCCTAACCTTCCATCCACCATTCCTGGCAGAACAAGCCAGATCTTAAAGACCTTCTGAGAAACCACCAGTATTTTACAATGTTTTCTGATTTCTTCTTTTAAGGAACATCCAGAAGGTGGTGCTATGAGATTATATGTTGATGACTGCAGCATGGATTAGCTGTCTGGTACCTTGTGTTAGGAATGTAAATCACCTAACAGTTATTTGGGTTGGAAATATATAAACCAGGATAGACATTTTAATACTATGTCTTTAAGAGAATCCTAAAACTGTAATTGGGTGTGGTTTCTCAAACGGCCATAAGATGGAACCAGAAACCTGGGTTAACTTAATCTCAGTGAGTTTCTGTTCTTTTCTGTTGGAGAGAGTTGTCGTTCCTCCTAATGACTGTTACTGATCATTGATGTAAGTCTGTTACTGAACTGTTTTTTGATACTGGACTTTGATATTTGGATTATCCCTGAACTGAACACTGACTGCCTTACCTGTGAATGATTTGGACTGCTTGTTTGGACTGTGCTTAAACATTTATTGGAAGTAAAAACCTACACTTACTGTACAGTGTATCTGTGTGCTGTGTGTGCGTTATTCTTCCCTACTCTCACTACGTCTCCCTGTATGCGCTCATTCTCCTAATGGGGAATTACCTCAACGCCTTGCTCCTCATATTATCTGATATCAAGATGAAACTGTTGGGGTATTTCTATTGACCTCCATCTCTTCTACTCATCACTATCCAGTTCCCAAGAATAATTCCTACTCTTTAAGATTGTCTGAGCCTTTTGGTAAGCTGGATAAGGAAGAACAACCAGAAACCGAACTCAGACGTGTTCTATTGAGCAATGGAGAATGGATTGCACCACATGAATGAGGAAGTCCATATAATCCAACAAAAGATCTTCAGGGAAGACCAGACCAGCAATCCAATGTCATATAGGTCAGGACTACCTTAATTGTAAGTTCTTTACAATTAAAGAATCTCACCACTCTGAATGCACTTCCTTCCTTTCTACTCTACTTGGTCTGTTCAATAATATTCCTTCTTGGACTTCCTACCTTTCCTGGTCCAGATATTTCTCCAGCAATCTGCAATCTTCTTGGCTTTCCATTCTTCAGATGAAGACATCAAGAGGAGCTCCGAAATGTTCCTCAGCTTGTTTGAAAAGTGGTCCGGGTCAACTTTAGCAAGATATTCAGTTTATACTTAAAATGCTCACTCAAATATTTCTTGACAATTGGGATGCATTAGTAGTCATGTTCACTGATGACTCCAGTTGGTACACTGAGGAGGAGGAGAGATAGAAACAGCGTTCTAGAGCTATTTTAACGATTACAAGTGTTCAAGTAGAAGATGAGGCAAAATATTATTGTCAGTCTTATAGATGTTTCACAGTGATGCCACCTGCACAGGGAAGTGAGGCAAAAACCTTCTGCAGATGTGTACTTCCAGTTTGCATTTGTTGTGGTGGTTTAGCACCATTCATGTGTTGCGATGTGTGTCTGTTACACAGGTATCTGTCCCAGAAAAAGGCAAGTGAACATGATAAGAAAATCCCCATGAGAGCAACAGATCAGTGAATGCCACTAAAGCAGGGGTCTTCAAACTTGACAGCTTTAAGACTTGTGGATTTCAACTCCCAGAATTCCTCCTCCAGTCATGTTAGCTCAGGAATTCTGGGAGTTGAAGTCCATAAGTCTTAAAGCTGCCAAGTTTGGTTGGCTGTGGTCAGAACAACCAGAATTCCTCCTAGAATTCCTCCCAGAATTCCTCCTCCAGTCATGTTAGCTCAGGAATTCTGGGAATTGAAATCCACAAGTTTTAAACTTGCCAAGTTTGAAGACCCTTGCACTAAAGAGTCAAACTATATGTTTAAAATCAAGTAGCTTTATGTAGTGCAAGATCGGAAGATGTGGAGAGACCTGGTCCATAGAATCACCACGAGTTGGACACAACTAGATGACTAACATCATCCTTTTCCATTTCATGAACACCTTGCTTCTTGGAGCTTTGGGTACTCCATTCCTGGAGGTCTTCAAGAAAAAATTGGACAACCATTTGCACAGCATGGAATAAGATCTTCTGCCTTAGTCCTTCCTGGACAAATGGGAGTTGGACTAGAAGACCTCCAAGCTCCTTTCTAGCCCTATGATTCTACCCCAGGTGGGGAAAAAAAAACCAGACGAACACTTGTATGTTACAAACATCAAACATGGGTTGTCTATTCCACTTGTATGCTACAAACATCAAACACAATTCAGAAATAACAGAATGAAGACGTAAAACATGGACATTCTCTGTATGAAGTAGACAACAGGATGTAATTTTAATTGCTATTTTAGAGCAGACATCTCTAAATTGAGTTAAGCATCACGTAATGGCTGTTCATTGGAGGTCAGAATCTAATCAGTTGGAAATCTGAGCTCCATTGGCAATTTTACTCCTAGTACTCCTAGTTACTAGCAGAATCAGATGGGGTGTTTTTGTTTCTTCATTTGAGACAAAATGAACAGAATAAGAATAAGAGGCTAACAGTATACCAAGACTGGTCCAGGAAGATCCAGGAATGTACCTGTAAGAATCGTGTAGTTCACTAGAAGATGGACACCTCTTAGAGAGGTCTTATCCATGGAGTCACCAGGAGTCAGTTATGACTTGATTGGAACCTAACAACAATAAAGAGCAAATTAATCAATATCTATTTGGGCACTATCTATACTAGCTAGGTTTAATGCAGCACGAAAGTTAAATAAAACAAATTAAATGTAGGTTTTATCTGGGCCCCACCCTTTCTTTCACTCAAGAAACATGCTGTGAGACTGTTCCTACAAGATGCTTCTTTAGCACGCTCTTCTCTTTATAATCTAAAGGGACACAAATCGCCATGCAACCATTAAAAAAGGCATCTCATTTGCATGTATGTATATTCTCTCCTTTCGGGACTTTAAGAAGAGATGCAAGAGAGAGAGGGAGGGAGGGAGGGAGGGAGGGGAGGGAGAGAGAGAGAGAGCTTTATTGCAAGAAATACCATTTTTTTTCTTGACCATGGCACAAACCTCTGTCGTGTTGATTTTTTCTTACTATGCAGGTAAAAGAAAACTTAAAACATTTGGGGCATTCTTAAATAAACAGTTCTTTTGCAATGTGAAGGCAATCCAGCTTTGATTGATCAAAATTTTTATTGGTCTTGATTCTTCTCTGCCCTCTTATTCCACTCTGTTCTGCTCTACTCTACTCTCTACTCTACTCTGATCTACACCTTGCTCTACACTCTGCTCTACACCCTGCTCTATGCTCTATGCTCTACTCTCTACACTCTTCTCTCCTCTACACTCTCCTCTACACCTCCTCATCTCTACACCCTGCTCTACACCCTGTTCTACACTCTACTTTCTACACTCTCCTCCTCTACACCTTACCCTACACTCTGCTCTCTACACTCTACTCTCTACACTCTCCTCACCTCTACACTCTGCTCTGCTCTGCTCTACACCCTGCTCTACACTCTACTCTCTACATTCTCCTCTCCTCTATACTCTCCTCCACTCCATTTTATATTCTATTTTAGGATCCTGGGGCCAGTTTACACTAACTCAGCCAGCCTCCCTGTCAGTAGCCCTTGGAGGCAGAGCTGTGATCAGCTGTACAAGGAACACTGCAAGCATCAACAAGTACCACGTCTCCTGGTACCAACAGAAACCCAATGGTTTGCCCAAGCTGTTGATCTTGAAGTGGTGAAGGAAAGAATGTTATCTTGCTAGTTTTGGGGATGGTTCAAGGTATTTGGAGCTGTGCAATCTTGAGACAAACATTGAGACACCGGGAGGCTGGGGGAGATTTATAAAGAGGTCAATTGAGCAGGTTCAGAGGTATTTCTCGAGAAAAGTTCTCCACTCCTCTACTCACCATAGAATTCCCTACGCCTCCGGGCTTGAAATTTGGGGCCTGGACAATCTGGGACTGTACCGCCTGCGGTCCGATCTAAGTATAGTTCACAAAATTGTCTGCTATAACATCTTGCCTGTCAACAACTTCAATCACAACAATATGCGGGCAAACAACCGATACAAACTGCAGGTAAACTGATGCAAACTCTATTGCAGAAAACATGACTTCAGCCACAGAGTGGTCAACACTTGGAGTGCCCTACCCAACTCCATTGTCACAGCTTCAAACCCTCGCAGCTTCAAGCTCAAACTATCTACCGTGGACCTCACCCCATTCCTAAGAGGTCCTTAAAGGGGGCGTGCATAAGCGCACCAGTGTGCCCACCATCCCTGTCTTACTGTCCCCATTGATCTGTATTTACTCCCTTTGTTCTTGTTTATGTTCATACTTGTTGTCTTGTATATGTTTGACAAACAAGCAAGAAAAGCAAACAATATCTTCAATATCTTCATTAACGACTTAGATGAGGGAATAGAAGGGGAACTTACCCAATTTGCAGATGATACTAAGCTGGCAGGAATTGCTAATACCCAAGAAGATAGGCTCAAGATCCAGATGGATCTTGACAGACTAGAACACTGGGCCATATCTAACAAAATGAAATTCAATGTAGAGAAAAGGAAAGTCCTACACTTAGGCAAGAAAAACCAAAAGTAGTGGACAACCAACTAAATATCAGCAGCAGCCGAAAAAGCTAATGCAATCCTAAGTTCTATTAACAGAAGGATACAATCAAGATCAAGGGAGGTACTAATACCACTCTATAAAGCCTTAGTAAGACCACACCTAGAGTACTGCATCCAGTTTTGTTCACCACATTATAAAAAAGATGTTGAGACACTAGAAAAAGTGCAGAGAAGAGCAATCAGGATGATTAGGAGACTGGAGGCTAAAACATACAACGAACAGTTGCAGGAACTGGGCTTGACTAGTCTAGTGAAGAGAAGGACCAGGGGAGGCAGGATAGCAGTCTTCCAATATTTGAGGGGCTGCCATAGGGAGGAGGAAGGGGTCAAGCTATTTTCTAAAGTGCCTGTAGGCCAGACAAGGAACAATGGATGGAAACTGAACAAGGAGAGATTTAACCTGGAAATAAGGGGAAACTTTCTGACAGTGAGAACAATCAACCCATGGAACAGCTTACCCTCGGAAGTTGTGGGAGCGCCATCACTTGAGATTTTCAAGAAGAGATTGGACTGCCATCTGTCAGAAATGGTGTAGGGTCTCCCGCTTGGGCGGGGGGGTTGGACTAGATGACCTACAAGGTCCCTTCCAACTCTGTTATCTGTTAAATAAATTTCCCTCCTTAAAAAGCAAATCATGTCATGTTCCAGAGGATTTCCCAGAGGAAGGGAGATTTAGGGGGTACCACTCTAGCCTCCTCACTTTTGTTATAATCGTTCCTATGAACCTCACAAGAAATTCAGGATCCTGTACAATAAATTTCACTCCCATGATTGTCAACTGAGCGGAAACAAAACTCAACCCCAATATGACCCATAATTGAGCTCCACACTTCTGTTGCTAAGCAAGACGGATGTTAAGTGAGTTTTGCTCCATTTTTCAACCTTTCTTGCCACAATGGCTAAGCACCCAAATGTTGATCAGCTGACCACGGGAAGGTGGCAAGGATGAAAAAACGGTGCTTAGCCACTTTGGTCAGTGCTGTTGTAACTTTGAACCGTTATTAAATGAACCCTTGTAAGTCACGGACTTACCTGTACAGCAGATTTTGGAATTCAAAGCAGGCTGTTGCTTTAAAAGAAAGCCTTTGCAAGTAAGAACTTTCAGGATTGGGGGTCCCTAAACTAAATACAAATATAAAAAGCCCTTAAGAGGGAGTGGCTGTGGTTTTGCATTGTCTTAGTCCTTCAATCAAAGGGTAACAGCTGACCTTTGGCAACCTGTATTCCTGCTTTTTTAGTGTGTTTGCTTTGCAACTTGCTAACCCAGACCAGAGTCAGAGATTCAGCAAGATGGTGAGTAGAGGAGAAAGATATTTTTGGGTCCCCCTTGGTTAATTTATGGTGGCCTTTTTTCCACCTGGAAGCAAGTCTGCTTGAGTTGAGATTCTAGGGAGAGTTTTAAATCTTCGCTTTGGATGAAAGAGTGGTGGGAGTGGTGCCCTGTTAATAGAATCACAGAGTTGGAAGGGATCTTGGAGGTCTTCTAGACAACCCCCTGCTCAAGCAGGAGACCCTTATACCTTTCCAGACAAGTGGCTGTCCAGTCTCTTCTTAAAAGCCTCCCGTGTTGGAGCAGCCACAACTTCTGGTGGCAAGTTGTTCCACTGGTTAATTGTTCCAACTGTCTGGAATTTTTCTCCTTAGTTCTAGGTTGGTTCTCTCATGCATATGTGTTGGAGTTTTTAAACATTTAGAGACCCCTTCAAAGGCATTTCTGAACCTATAGAGCAGAAATTAACAGGTAGATAGATAGCAATGGGATTCAGCTATCCACCTATTGGGTGTTTCTTTACTTGAAAAGGTAACGTTAGGACTATTGTGTAACAGTCCCGAAATCTTATTTCCAACTCTGTCTGTTGGGCTATACTTGTAGTTGAAGATGTGTTCTTTGGATAAGCTTAGATGCATTTGAGTTACAACTGTTTGTGTGTTGTCGGGGGGGGGGGGTAGGTTTTTTTGAACAGGCACTGGAGTGTACAACTGTGAAGATTATAGAGCAAGATTTCCAAGTCAGAAACATGTAGAATCTTCTTGTATGGTAGTTACAGAGAACGCAGCTCCCCTTAAATGGAGCTAAGATTGTATCAGTTCCTTTTGTGCTCTCAAGATTGGGCACTCAAGATTTCAGAGGCTTTTCTTCTTAAGTCATAGTTTATCTTGACAGAGCAATCATGCATTAGGACCCTGCATTAGATCAAATGTGGATTTGTAACAGCAACAAAAATCCATTTAATTTCAATGCTGAAAATGAGTCTTGTCATTAAAAATGTTTGCAGCTGAATAATATTTGAGGTTTGTCTCTTGAGGCGACACACAAAGCAACAGCATTTGTTCCAATATTTCTACCCTCTTAACATTCTGAACTTCAAAATTATTCCAGGTAAAAAGCTAAAGAGGAAGGAATCAATTTTGTTTTCAAATTTCGGGGTTTTCCAAAACTTTTTGGTAGTTTTAAAAGAATGATTCATTGGCGTGAATCATTAGATAGTTCCCTTTATCTTCACCACTTACCACTTGGTTAATTCTCCAAAACAGGAGGACAATTTTTAACAATGCACTTAGCTTTTAAACTGTGGAATATCTGAAGCTGCTAAACTAATCAGTTTGGTTAATGTTTAGAAATGGTTGGATAATTTTAAAAAAAATGCTTGTGATTGGTGCTAGCTTTGAAGGAGCATTTCTTTGAATGTTCTCCTAGGCTGCATTATCTTATTTATTTTTTTAAATGTTGAATCTCCTTTATTCTCCTCTTACAACCAACAATATCTCCATGTTGCTATAACACAACTTCTTTAACATGTCCTCAGTTTCTGTTGTCCTCCTCAGTGACAAAACAAATTTGGAAGTGTATTACCTTTGGAATGAATTGAACCAATGATTACTGAATGTTGCAGTGGACTCTCTACTTTATTCCATTCCATTTATTTGTCAAACCATGGACAAGATAACAAGTATAAGTATAAACATAAACAAGAACAAAGGGAGTAAATACAGATAAATGGGGACAGTAAGATAGGGACAGTAGGCACCCTGGTGGGCTTATGCATGCCCCCTTTAAGGACCGCTTAGGAATGTAGTGAGGTCCACAGAAGACAGTTTGAGACTGAAGCTTAAACAATGGATTGGGGTAGAGCGTTCCAGGCATTGATTGTTACTTTACCTCTTTTCCCCTTCAGCTGGTATTAGTGATAGGCGACTTTCACATCCCACACCGATGTAGCAGCCTTCCAACCAAGTTTAAAAAGTTGCTAGTTCCAGGCAAGATCCAACATATCCTTTGCACTGGGAATCTTTGCACCAAGGAGAGCTATGATTATTTGAGGACGCTGGCCGGAGATGTCCACATCGTTAGAGGGGACTTTGATGAGGTAGGAGATTGGAGAACGTGGCTGATTCTGGCTTGGGCAATTGAAGCCCATCCATTCCTCCCATGGAAAGTTCAAGAGCATCATTTTTTTCCCATGTTCATGGAGGTTCTACTTATATTATGGTGGTTACCAATGCTTTAATGTTCCTTAGACTTAAACCTAGTTTAGCATTAGTCTTTTGAGCTAAAAAAAACCTACTGTTCCTCTAAGAGGAAATGGATTTAGGTTGACAAACTTGATTCCATTAGCTGTAAATTAAAACTAATGGCAGCTTTTATTAGATGATAGCAGAACTTTCATTTCTGCCTTAAAATTAGAATTCCTTGGGAAACTTGAAAAGAGTTTTATGTATGCCAAGTTTTGAGAGCCATACACAACTCTCATTCCCAAGGTCTATGTTCCTAAACATGGTTTGTCCTATCTGTGTTTTATTAAGCAAAGCATTTTTTTTGGTGGGGGGTGGGTTCATCTACAGCAAGGGTCTTCAAACTTGACAATTTTAAGACTTGTGGACTTCAACTCCCAGAATTCCTGAGTTAACATGACTGGAGGACGAATTCTGGGTCCACAAGTCTTAAAGCTGTCAAGTTTGAAGACCCCTGATCTACAGTGTTGAACCACAGTGGATAAACTTACGCCATGTGAAAGCAAGCTATTATATTTTTGAAGCATCCTTAAGAACTAGGCTATAAATGATGGTTTGAGTCACAATCATTGTCTTCATAAAAGCACACTGAAAAATGATAATGGATGCATTCACACAATCAGCTAAAACATACACTTTGGCTTACAAGCCACCACAGTTGACTTCAAAACCAAGGCTCAGATAAAACTGTTCAGCCTGCATTTCAGTATAAGCCTGTCCTGATCTCAGGCACTACAGATAGTCCTCAAGTTATGATTGCAATTGGGAGGGTTTGAGTGGTATGGTGGCCTAGAGGTGAAGCTCTCGCCTCACAATCAGGAGGCTGTGAGTTCGATCCTAGGTAGCAACAGATATTTCTCTTTTTGGGCACAATGAGTATATGGCTGTGAACTCTGCATTGGCAACGGGAAGGGCATCCGGCCAGTAATCACTCAGCTCCATTCAGTTGCCCTGACTCCACCCCGATGTAAGGGATTATGGGGTCATTAAAAGACAAATAAAATTTGTAGCTCAGGGTTGACATGAGGAGTCCTTGATGCTCTCTGCAACTTGGTTTCTTGCAGACATTACATTAACCAAACTAGGTATCACCATCAGTGCTAGAAAGGGATGGGGTTGCGGGTGGGGGAAAGGAGGAGGACTGTGTGGTCCTTGTGCTCCCTGAATTTGCTTGTTTTCTAGTCCTGATGATGTTACCTAGTACGGGTATTGAAATATCTGCAAGGAAACCAGCAAGCACCAAGGAGTTCTCAAGGATTATCTTTACTGAGTTCTGTATTGGCTAATCATTGACACGGTTCTTTGCAGGGCACGAGTTACCCCCAGCAGAAAATTGTCACTGTTGGACAGTTCAGAATTGGTCTGATCCATGGACATCAAATTATGCCCTGGGGGGATTTGGCCAGCTTGGCGATCCTGCAGAGGCAGCTGGACGTGGACATCTTAATATCTGGACACACTCATAAGTTTCAGGCAGTAGAACATGAGAAGAAGTTCTACATCAATCCTGGTTCAGCCACAGGGGCCTACAGTGCTCTGGAAAGGTGAGAACTACACATTACAAGGGGTGGTTTTTCAGTGTGTGTGTGTGTGTGTGTAGAGCATCTCTTTCAATTGCTGGTTGTTGGGTGGATGATCAGGCATGGCCTTAAATGGAGAAGACCCAAGCAAGGTGAAGTAGAAGATAGAATAACAGGGTTGGAAGGGATCTTGGAAGTTTTCTCATCTAACACCTTAATCAAGCAGGGGACCCTGTATAAATTCCAGACAAATGGACATACAATCTCTTCTTGAAAACCGTGAGTGAAAATTACGTTTTGTTTTCTAAAATAGAGCAAAGGAAGAATATGAAGGAATTGTCCCACTTCTGAATAACTACCATGGGAACGTGTACCAATCAGATTGGGAAATTGTTCTTTAAACCGTAGGATGATTTAATTTTGCCATCATTGTGTTCAAGGGTTAAATACAAAGCACGTTCACCTCCACTAAATCTAAGAGTCTTTTCTGCCAACATTTGTCCCATTTTGTTTTAACCAGGTGGTTGCAATTGGGGGGGAAATTAAGATTAATTATATATCATAGAAGATTTCAATAAATCCTTGGAAGATCTAATCACAGCCCCCTAAGAAGCTGTTACATGGTCAGCTTCCTTAGATATCAAATTATAACATCTATTCCATATGCAATTCTATGACTCCATGTTATGGTGATTTTATTGTGGTTTTATCTTAATTATTTTATCTCTTATATTGTATTCTCCGCATACCTTCTATGTATATATTTGCTAATGCTTTATTTAAATGAAATTTGTAAATCAATTGTTGCATGTAAATGCCCTACCTAAATAAATAAATCCTGAACAAATGCACTTTTTAAGCCAGGAATTAATCCAGAAACAGTATACTATGTCATAGTTTAGCGTGATGTGTGTGATAGAAATTCAGACCTGGTTTTATTAAGACTGCTTTTTTAAAAATGAACTAATGCAGCAAAATTTGAAGAAATAACTTCCTATTTCAACTCCAAACGTTTCTTCTTTCCAGGGATATAATTCCTTCCTTTGTTCTGATGGATGTTCAGTCCTCCGTCATTGTTACTTATGTGTATCAACTCATCGGGGATGAGGTGAAAGTAGAAAGGATTGAATACAAGAAAACTTGAAATGGAATGGTTTTCCCCGGATGGCTATTTCACCTAGAAAGTTTAGCAAATCGTTCACATCCATTGCAGTGATTGACTGGAGCGTCGTAACCATTCATCTAGGGTGGTTCAAGCTGCTTGAAGTTATTTGCCCTGAATTTAGAAAGCCATACGAATGTTGGAAAATAACCTTTTTCTTTCAATATATTTTCAAAAGCTCAGAATATTTGGAATTGTCAGAAACTTCTATAATAGTGGCTGATGGGGGTAAAGAGCAAAGGCAGTTTGCATCCACCCAATGTTTAGGTTTCTGTGTTTGAATAAAGCTGTTTTTTTTTTTATGTGCATACTTTGAGAAGGTGTCATTTCTGAAATCCAAGGATTGGGGTGGGGAATGGTTGACCTTCACATGGTCTTAAGGAAATGCTTTGTCTTTGTGAATAAATCAAAATGTCAGTGGAAGTCTACAAGGGGAGGGCTGGGTTGGCAGCAAATGACCAAGGAGCCAATGAAGCTGGTGATGTGGGAGATGTCCAGGTTGAGTCCAAGGGATGGGTCAACCATCATCAGTTATGAGTTCCTTCGTTCCCACCAAAGAACTAAATCCAGCCCACTGTGAATTCCTTATCTACCACCAAATTGCTTTGACCATTAGTAGTTCAGATTCTTATAGAGCTCAAGTCTGCAATAAATCTGTTTACCTATTTGAACTGCCTGGATCTCCTGATTTCTCTGATGCTGGACAGGGGGCCCTGGTAGTGACCAAAGAATTGCCCTGGAGAACACACAACTTGGCATGGACCTTGAGAATCATATGCTTGTGTTTAGCCCACCTTTAACAGGAACAATCTCCAGAGTGCTGCAAAGCAAGGATGAAGACCATGAAATGGTGCTACCCTCACGTCCAAGACCTTCTCCAGATCTTCACTACACTACAGAATAATTTCTCCTCCTTCCAAAAAAAAATGTTGCATCTGTTTGCAGAACCTGCAAGAAAGAAAGAAATCCTATTGATGGATTTTCCTTCCCATCATAACCACATCTGGCAAGTTAGCAGCCAGTTGTCTTGGATAGCTTTCATCACAACTAGAGACCACTTTCTCTTTCCTTTTCCCTCTTTCCTGACCGCTTTTCACATCCATCTTGGTCCAAGGAAACAACTTTTTCTCTTCACTGTTCACCATCCTTCTTATATACTTTGCCCTATTTTAAATTAAGAACTTTGGGGTACTTAGATTAACAGAATCGGAAGGGACCACGTAGGTCATCCAGTTGAACATCCCCCGCCCAAGCAGGAGACCCTACACCATTGACAGATGGCAGTCCAGTCTCTTCTTGAAAGCCTCCAGTGATGAAGCTACCAACACTTCTGAAGGCAACTTCTGTTCCATGGGTTGATGGTTTGCCCTGTCAGAAAATCTCTCCTTGATCAGTTTCCATCCATTATTCCTTGTCCAGCCCTTGGGTGCCTTGGAAAATAGCTTGATCCCTTCCTCCTCTCTGTGGCAGCCCCTCAAATATTGGAAGACTGCTATCCTATCTCCCTTGTCCTTCTCTAATGTCGATTATGAGTGATGGAATAAACAAGCATTCTAGAAGCAAAGCATATTGTCCTTCCCCAACAGGCATTTATTAAAAATACAAATCAAAGAACAAGAATTTGGAGAATGTTATCAGGCAATATTATATTCTTATATGGGGCACATTTACCTTAACTTCGGCAATGTAATCATGACATTTTAAATCTTTCCCCTATGTTCTCTTTTTTGATTTATGCGAGGTGGGTTGTTTCCTATCAATCAACTTTTCCATTTAAAGCAGCAAGTCATGCCTGATAGTTAAAACACGCACAAAAGTGAATATATTTTTTTTGAATGCTTAGATCCTTGTGTGAGGAAACACAATCGAACTTATTTTATTTATTTTGATTTGTCAATCGCTTACAAGATAATAGGTATAAGTATATACATAGTTATGAATACATGAAATGGGTACATATAAGAAAAATAAAAGAATAAGAGAAACAATAGGACAGGGACAGTAGGCATGTTGGTGTGCTTATGCACACCCCCTACAGACCTCTTAGGAAAGGGGCGAGGTCAATAGTAGACGGTCTGAGGTTAAACGTTTTTGGGGTTTGGGGAAGAAACCCCAGAGTCAGGTAGAGTATTCCAGACATTGACCACTCTGTGGCTGAAGTCGAACACTGCCTTGGGGGACACCACTGTTGACAGGTACAGAACTTGTAGTTCTATACTGAGTGGATCTTTCTGATTTGGGCACTCCTGGTTCTGTTTTGTGCCATGGACCAGGCTTTTGTCTTTTAATAGTTATATGAATTTTGTTTATGCAAATTTCTTCTCTGGTCATTTGTTTCTGCTAGGAGGGAGTCATGCATGGCTAGCAAAGTTTTTAAAAAACCAAAATATTTGCATGGATGTCACGGATGCATTCTGAGAAGATTTAAGAGAGCAGGAGGAGAAAGATCCCACCTCAATGCACATCATTTTCTTTTCATCTGTCTAAATCCATTGATAACCTACCATGATCTGGTCAATATTTCTCTTTGCCTTCCTAAATTACTACTCAGGTAAGCAGGCATGCACACTGAGCATTGGTGGCAGAAACGTGGTGCAGCCGTTGTATTTTGGAGAACAGAAAATCTCAATATTGTGATCTTTTTTCTCCTCCATGAAAGCAAAAGATGTACAGCACCCAAGACAATGCTTCAAAACAGGCTATATTTTCAGTGAGAATCTTTGCAGCTCAGGGGTTGAATTTGGGGGATCCTTGGGGCTCTGAGCTTGGTTGTTTTCTTGAAAAATGCTTCATTACCCATACCAGGAAACATCATCGGTTGCAGAGAAAACCCCACTCCCCACTAGCCGTGATGATGTTATCTAGTATGGGTAATGAACAGTCTGCAAGAAAGCCATTAAAGCTCAGAGAGCACCAAGGTTGCTTCGTGCTATATTTTGGTGGCATTCTGAAAGTCTAGAAAATGAGTCAAATATCTGTTGCTTTCTCTTCTCCAAGGGGTCAATTCACAGACACCATGGACCCAGCCAACCTCCATGTCGGTTCCCCGGGGAGAAATGGTAAAATTATCCTGCACTGTTACTGGAACCGTGAATAATATTTACTGGTACCAACAGAGCTCTGGTCAGGCTCCTCGCTATGTGCACTATTCTGGTGGAAACAGGGGTGATGGGATCCCAGATCGGTTCACGGCTTCTGTCTCAGGATCCACTGGCTCTTTAACCATCACTGGAACCCAGGCTGAAGACGAGGCTGATTATTACTGTTTAATGTGGCATAGCAGTGCCAGCTCGTTGCACGGTGGTACAATCTGATGAGGAACTAAGACAAAAACCTCCTCTCATCCTGCACAGCAGAAAATCATCGAAGTCCTTAGAGAGCGTGATTCGATGCATGACTGAGACTTGTTATAATAATGAAACAAATCAAATGAGATGCTATTGCACGTGTTCCCGGGTTCGGCTGATGGGCGCTCCCAGCCCTGGTCAACAGCCACTCTAAAATCCCTCTCAAACAAACAATGAAGCACAACCGGTTCTTTGGAATATAGGGAGACTCAGTGAATTGGACACAACAGCAAAAGGTTACTGGTTACAATAAACGCTTGCTGTTTCTCACCTGCGCACAAACCCAAACGGTGCTTTTTCAAGAGGCAAGTGGACTTTCTTTGTTTTTTTCCTTGAAGACGTTTCACTTCTCATCCAAGAAGCTTCTTCAGGTTTTGCTGAACGGTGCAGAATAGAAGGATTTATATTCTGGTTGTTAGCAGAGAGACTCACTGAGAGTGCTAAGGACCAGTTGATCGCAAGGAATATCAATCCTTCCATTCTCCCTTTTTGACTTTTTATAATAAAGGCAAAAATCAACAGAGATGTTCCCACAGAGCCTTCCTCATAATGTTCAAAACAGCTAAGCAAAGTCTGGAGATCAGCCATCTAAAACTGCTGTGGTGGTCTGGCATTCGAAATGAGACACAGGGAAAATGTCTGAGAAAATGCCAGCCCTGAGCGAACTCAGGTAGCAGTATTTATTGAGAAAAAACACAAGCAAAAATACAGTATGCATATTCAGAAACAATGACCTCTACAGGAGATTACTTCACCAGCATGAGAACATACAATCTTGGAAAGTCCCAGATGTTACCTTACTAGGATGAGATCATACAGCCACGGAAAGTCCCATGGGAAAGTCTGGAAAGTCCCATGAGAAAGCACAACTGTGTACCTTGAACTTTTACCTATTTTCCTGTTCCTTCTAAACTTGCAGATCAAAACAGGATGAGACACTCATGAGCAAAGGTACTCCTACCCCCACCAAGAATGCCTACATATCCCTAGACCTATTGCTAGTTATACAAAGGCCTTACAGAAAATGATAAAATGATCAATAGATTATATTACCACAACTGCATCCAAACTTTCCATTTAAATTGCAAATTCTCCCCTAAGGCACGGTCTATGTTCATTTCTATTTTTTTTAACGTGATACCCACATGTATTTTTATTCTAGTACACAGAATGGGCAGTAATGTTAGAACTAATTGATGCTTTGAGACTGGAGATCTTAGTTCTTCTCCATAACTGCTTACTACCATGCTAATGTGAAAGAATCATAGGGTTGTAGGGCTGGAAAGGACCTTGGAGGTCTTCTAGTCCACCCCCCCCTCAAGCCAGGAGCCCGATACCATCCCGGTTGTATCATTCCAAGTTCTGTCTTCAAATTGAGAGAAAGATTCACCCCCAAAGCTCTAAAAAGTTGCTATCAGTCATAGTTGATCATTTCCAGCTAAGAAACTACAGAACTTTTCTTTATATTGTTGTTGCTTGAGTCAGCCTCTTGCCCCCAACAATCTGGGTCCTCATTTTACCCACCTCGGAAGGATGGAAGGCTGAGCCAACCTGGTGAGATTCGAATTGCCAAATTGCAGGCAGCCAGGTGTAAGAAGAAGCGGATTACTATTCTAATATGTAGTACAGCTTCAG